TGATTCCATGGTTTCTCTCTCAAAATTCCTACTTTTTGAGAAGGAAACCCTCAACCTCTTGTCTTTCTGAGCATGGAGACAAAAGTGTTCCCTGGGCTGGAAAAGGAGAGTAAATGTTTCTGTATTGTACCTTGACCATGGCAAATGCTAAACAGTGTTCTCATCACAGCCAAAATCTGAAACACTCTAGATACCCTGGGAATCTTGTTTTTCAATACAGATGTAATCCTTAACCACTGCTAAGAAGTCAGAAAAGGAACTCAATTCATAAGAGACACAGATGGGAGCTCACAAACCTGAAGACTATACCCCATCTCTTACCATTGTTGTACAGTGGGAAAACTAAATCAACCTAATCAACTCACGCTCAAAAGCCAGGATCTAAAGCAATATGCAAGAACTCAGCACTACCACTACGCCACACCTCATCCATGATGCATACAGCAGTCATATCAGCAATCACTGTATACCTATCTGCTACCTGAAGCCAACTAGCCAACTGCAAGTCAACATGCCAGCCATCAATATACAACTATCTAGCAATAGCCACGTTGATCACAACATTCAATGAGAGAGAGAGGGAGAAGTGTACTTCAAAACTAGTGTCTGGGTCTAGGATGTCTCATTAGCTCATTATCTATACTTTTAGTTTTCCTGAAATCCCTTCAGACTCTTAAGACTATAAGAAGTTCTTTCAACTACAAAATCTTTCTCTTGCACACCAAACTAGTGTAAAAACAAAAGAAATAAAAATGATATGAGTCCCTTAACTTTGGGAGAGAAATGACTGATTAACCAAAGATGTCAGCAAAACATATATTGACATTTAAGTCAACATTTCTTCCAATATAAGTCTGGCTACATACAACATTCATTAATTAAGAAGTAGTGAATTTTGTAATTAATCAGTTTGTTGGTCAAAAGTTGCATGTTCATAATGCTCACATTTGTAGTGAGCTTGGACCGTGGTCTTATATATTTTTATTCATCTATTTACAAGATTTGTGTACAGCTGCATATTCCAGTATGGAGAATTCTAAGCAGTGAATAATGACAAATAAAACAAGCAAAAGAGTGAAAAAGATATGAAAAAAACAAGCTCAATAAATGTTTATCAAAAAGTTGTGACTGGTTAGATCAGGAAGGAAGTGCCAAAAACAATACATCAGCATCTGCCTGACCTTAAGAGGCAGGAGATTCCAAAGAAACTGAACTTCTGTGTTGAAAGTTTTTCCCTGGGTGGGCTCCAACTGGACCATATGGATGCATCAGAAACATGCCATCTGATGACCTCATGATGGGGCAGGTTGGGAAGAGAGAAGGCCATCATGCTGATATCCTGGTCTCAAGTTGTTTAGGGATTGAGGGGATGGGGAGAATTGCAGGCACATGTACAGAGGAGCAGGAACTACTGGCCATCTTACCCTATCCACCCATGATCCATTTCTGCTCATTTGCCTCTTATTTAGTTGCTAATTGTTCCTCCCCTCTCAACTACTACAGCTGTGAAAGGAAATAAGATCTGATAAAATAAGACAGACACTTTCTCCTAAGTTCCTCTGATTGCCTGGCAGTTCGACCCAGGGAAACTCAGAAATCTCACCAGTCAGAACTTAACTTTACAGGTACCTACTTTTCACAAGACATATGTAACATGTAGCCAAGCATTCAATCAGATTGTACTACTTATACCCAGTGTGCCAATCCCATTTCATGGGATTTAAAATTTTTCTAGGGTTACAGTTCTTATGGCTGGCCAACTAATAAGCAATAAAGCTTTCCAATAGTCCTCCCTGGTTATTTTGAGGGAAACAAAATCTTAAAATTGTAGTATCTGGAATGAAGTATTTATATTCCTGCTTACACAATGATTGATTAACTGTTAAATAGATTTACAGATCTACATTGCATTGGGATGGCTTCCTTGCAAATATACACATGAACAACTTCAGTAAATCCACTCTTAAAAGCTTGCAATGACAAAATAGCAATAGCACAAGTGAAGTGTAATATACTTTTCAGATTAAATAGCTAATGTCCACGCACAGAGCCTGTATGGTTAAGAACCTGGAGAGCAATTCTATTTTAGATTAGATCTATTTGGAGAGCATTAACCTAGAGTGTTTGTTTATGAAAGAAGCTCATGCCTGTTTTCTCAAGTCCAGTCAATTACCCTTATGAGAATGAAGCAAACAACAACAAAAATGCATGGATTTTTTTTCCCCCAGGCAAGCAGTTCTGACTAATGTTACTAGGCATCCACAAATCATGACCACAGTAGATCCGAGTGCTCCTGGCCCTTTAGAGAACAGGATGCTCAATGGCACGAAGACCCCTTCCCCAGAACTTTTATTAGCACTGTGCATCAAAGAAGGTATGAAATAGTCTCTTCCGCACAGCAGGTGAGACTTTTCTTGTTTCTTCTCTTCTTTACAGTGCCAGTGAAAGTGAAAAGATTCTGCCTCACTGTCAGGTGTTCTGATGATGCCAGGAGACTCGGAGCTGGGAGGCTCACTGAGAGCTTCAGCTATTGAGCAACTCATAAGCTGAATAATTCCAACAACACCTACAAATACTGCCAGAGTAGTACCTTATGTGCCCCTGCACATGACTATGCCCCAGACCAGTCTTTCCCAAACTGTATTCCACAGAACCCTATGGTTTTTGCAACATGAATAAGGGTTATGTGAAAAAAGTTCAGTTTTAACTCTACAATTTCATATTTAAGATCTTATTTCAAAAATGCTTAGGTGAATAGTTATTTAGACTGTAAAGGCTGTTATGTGTCATGGCTTTAATGAAACTGCATTGGCTTGTGCAAACTAGCAACCGTGTCCCCTCCTCAGGCCATTACAAACAACCTTGGGAAGGAACGGGTCTATCAGAGCACAGCATCTGTATCATATGGCTAGTGTATACAGCAGGAGTCAAGGCCCAGGAGACAGTCTCACAGAAAGCAACTTCTGGAACCTCAGCTCAGACTTTCCTATAGGCAACAGCAGCAAGCATCTGTGTGTGTGTGTGTGTGTGCATGCGATCTCTGCTGCTGAATTCTATACATATCTATGTGATAGGGGCAGCCTGCAAACCTGATGCCAGCTTGAATCCTTTCTCTTATATGCTCAGCAGACAGAAGCATCAGGGAAGCTTTTCTTTTCTTCTCTTTTTTCCAGCCTGGTTGCTGATATAGGACCTTTAAATCAATTTTTAAGGCTTAGGTACAGCTCTAGGTTCAACAAATTAGTTGTTAGGGCGTGGGTACAGCTCTAACTTTGTAAATTAATTTTAAGAGCTCTAGGATCTGTAAAGAAATTTGTAAGGCTTGGGTGCAGCTGTCAGCCCTGTAAAGGAAAGGTTGTACAGTGGTACCTTGGCTAACAAACTTAATCCGTTCCATGACTCTGGTTGTGACCCAAATTGGTCAAGAGCCAAGTCAAATTTCCCCGTAAGATTAAATGTAAATAAGGTTAATCTGTTCTGTAAATACATATTTTTTAATCACAGGGAAGACAGTCTTGACTGCGGGCACGCTTGGAGGGGAAGACAGGCGCGATCGCGGGCGCACTCGGGGGGAGACGGGTGCAATCGCAGGCACGCTCGTGCAGGGAAGATGGGCGCGATCGCAGCCATCTCCCACCCCAGCACAACCACGATGGTACCCATCTCCTGCCCCTCCCGAGTGTGCCCGCGATTGTCACCCAATGTGGAGTTCGTGACCTGAGGAAAATTTTTTCCTAAATTTCTGTTCGCAACCTGATTTGGTCGTGAACTGAGGCATTCATGAGCTGAGGTACCACTGTAGCTCAATGCTAGAGTTCAGCCCCCGCCCCACCTTTCCAAGTAGGGCTCAGTTCTGTCAGTGGCCTGCTTTCATGAAACCCATGGTAAGAACCCATATTTATTTAACCCCAAGGGTTGTTTTTTCCCCCTTACTTTGCTTGCTTCCTGCCCAGTATCCCCTCCCCCTCTGTAGCACTACCATGTACAGCTGCTGGTTTTTGTCTGTTTTTGCTTTAATGTTCTTGCTTTCTGCCTCTGTAGCCTGGCAAAACAATGTATAAACAACTCACAATTCTGGTTTTACACATAACAACCCACAGTTCACAACTCATCAACAAAGCACAGGTTCTTTTTGTGGTTAGCAACCCACAGCTAACCCATAATTTTGGGTATATACATTACAATCACCCATGATTCAACAAAGCATGGTTAATTAAACCATGGTTTGTATCTACGTGCAAACCAGGTCAGTATATTTAGACCCCACAAGTGTTTCATAGTCAAATTAATTTGGGAAACACTGCTCTTAAATTGAATCATCACATGCACAGATTTAAAACAGCAGCATTCTGTACTAGATTAATATTCCACCTCAAGCACAAGTTAACATGTATCAACAATACAATGTGCATTTCTGTCATGTGAAAAATTGTTTTAAAAGTGAAAAGGAATTCAATCCAAATATAAAAATACAGCTATCAATAAAATAACTTGTGCATAAGTTTTAAGAAAGGCAAAAATCCATATATTTTGACATATATACTGCCAAGTAAACATTTCAGTACACCTACTATAGGTGAGTCATTTCAAATTATGCAAGAATTTCACCCTTTTTTTCTTTTTAGGGTTTTGCCTTGTCCTGTTGAAATGCACATAGAAATCATTTTTAAAGGCATTCAGTCCAAATTATTAAATTAAGGGAAGCACACAAGCCAAAACTTATTCCAGATTAATTTATATAGATCAAACATTATTTCAGAACTAATGAGCTCAATTACCTGAAAAAATAATTGAACTTGAATTTCTATATAAAAACTTTCTAGCAAATTTCACATTGCACAGGTGATTTGGAATGGAAAAATTACAGTTTTCTACCCTGGTGTCCTCCTTTTTTGATATTTTGAACCTTAGCTCCCAGCATTCCTAACTATTTGTCATGCTGGGTAAGGCTGATGGGAGTTGAAGTCCAGGAAATCTGGAGATTACAGAAGGGAAAAGACTCCATAATAATCACATAATAATCAAATTAGTATGTTTATTTTACTTGTATTTAGCAAACAAATAATAATAATAATAATAATAAAAACAAAGCTTTAAGAGGTACGCCTTCTTTATTTTTAGTCCTGATATACTGAAGTACATGCCCTTAAGTTCTTGGGGTAGAATTAAAGTTTACTTAACGAAACAGTTCAAATGTCAGAATAGCCCAACATAGATTTTCATCCATCAGGAATACTACATGATGCAAGTAGTACTAAATGCAAGTATCATTTTTGTGCAGTTTCCATGGTCACCTGGCTTGCCACAGCTTGCTGAGCTATGCAAATGATACTTGCAGGCGCCTGACACAACACTTAGCCCCCACAGGTAAATTAAAGCACAATGGGCTGTCATGTCATGCAAACCATGTCAATGTGATTTAAATGCTGTATTACGTAGACATTTTTATTAGATTACTTGCAAAAAGATAAAGACAATAGGATGTATTTCTCTTACCTTGTTTAAACTTAAGTGGAAACAAACATACTGAAAACTTACTGACCCAATGACTATGCCTAATGACAACCATTCATCCACAGCTTTGAAACTGCCAATTTTGCCTAATACTGCATTTGTATCCATTCCTTATTACTAACGAACTTATGAAATGTAATTTTTTTTCCAGAAAAATAAAGCACTGGAAAATTGTCACATCACTTATCAGAATCAAGCTTTGGTTGACTGAGCAGTCTGATTAATCTGTTTAAAAGGTCTACCTCACCAAATAGCCAGGCAGCAGATCTTAAAAACAACTTTTTATACAAGCATTCACATCAGTCATGAATGCCAGAGGGACTACCTTAGGATGACAGAACGTGAAACAAGCTAGCACCTTTAAGATGGCTCCTTCTGTGACACAAAGCACTGTCTATAAAAACAAATTATACTTTTCTCTTCTGCAATGTTGCTTATCCCTATGTAGGTTCAGTTGAGTAAGACACTGATTACAGTCAAGTAATCAGTTAAGATTGTCTTTGATCAAGTGACAGTCATACCTTTAATTACTAACATGCCCACAGAGATTTCTTCCAGTTGCTTTTTATTTACAGAGATACATGCATACAAATATAAATATTAGTCTAATACATCTAAAGGAAGGCCACAATATCATTTCTCATCTGAGGAAGGAGAAGAAAGGCAGATTGCTCATCTGCAACTGTCGTTCTTCAAGTGGTCATCTGTGCATCACACATATGCGTGCTGTGCCTGAACAGTGCCTGTAGCCGGGAAGATTTGAAAGCTTAATGGTTTTGGCGGGAACTCTGCGTCCCTCCCCACACCAATAGTATAAGAAGGCAGGGTGCCCGCCATTTTCCCAGTCTACTGAAGACCGACTGTTCACCTCCAAGCGGAAGCAAAAGGTATTACACATCAAGTGTTTAAGACACTAAAGGTAAGTATATATGTACATGAAGATACACCTTACGGATACGTAACCAAGCGAAACGTGGTACCATAGAAATCCAGTCACCGACACCGAGTGGGGCTGACAGGTGGGTTGTGTGAATGCACAGATGGCCATTCGAAGAACGACAGTTACAAGTGAGCAACCTGCCTTCCTTCATCGCGGCCTCTGTGCATCACACATATGGGTGATTAGCAAGCTTACCAGACCCGGAGGCGGGATGGTGTCATCACTGAAGAACAGAAGAAAGGACTGTGCGACCAAAGGAACAATCCTGTCTGGCACGTAGATCAAGGCGGTAATGTCTGACAAATGTGCAAAGGGTAGCCCAAGTGGCCGCCTTGCAATGTCATGAAGCGGAATGCCAGTAGAGAAGGCGGAGGAAGCTGCAACAGCCCTCATGGAATGACCTCTGGGCATGACAGGTAAGTCTAGTTTAGAGAGTTGATAGGCCAGTTCAATGGTCTGAACAATCCACTTCGAGAGTCTTTGGAACCCAATGGGGAACCCTTTGTCACGTTCAGAATACTTAATGAAAAGACGTCTGGTATTGCGAAAAGATTCCGTACAAGACCTGTAGGAGGTGAGGCATCGACGAACATCAAGGGAGTGTAGCGAGCGCTCCATGGGCATAGACGGAGTAGGAAAAAAGGCTGGTAAAACAATGTCCTGAGTGACATGGAAGGGTGACATGACCTTCGGAAGGAACACCCGGTCAGTACGCAGAACAACCTTCTCCTTATGCAAATTGAGATAAGGAGGGTCTATATGAAGTGCAAAGAGTTCACTGGCCCTTCTAGCTGATGTGACAGCAACAAGGAAGGCAGTCTTCCATGACAAAAGATGTAAGTTGGTAGTCGCCAAGGGCTCAAAAGGAGGTTTTGTGAGCGCTGGAAAGACAACAGAGAGGCTCCACATCAGAACGATTGATCTAACTGGTGGCTGGAGATTCTGTAAGCCTCTAAGGAATCGACGAATAAGGATGTTAGAGAATACCAATAAGCCAGCCACCTGGCCACAGTAGTGAGAGATTGTGGCAATGTAAACTTTAAGCGTCGTGATGAGTGGCAGAATGATGGTGGAGGATTGTTCTCTCTTCACAATGTTATAGAACTTATTGGTACTGGGATCAAAGTGGTACTGGGTTTCGATCTCCAGTGACCTAGCCAATCTCGCCATCAGTTCCCCAAATGTCGAATACAACTCCTCAGGTGAGCTGGGACCCTGTGTGGTGATCACCGTATCCGGTGAGGTGGATGCTACATCAGAATCCTCTGACTCCAAGTCGTAATGAAGCAGAGGACTGGAGCGGGAGTCAGCCAGCAAGGAAGGCCGCCTGGTCTGAACTGCTGCAGATGTCGATGGAGCATCCCTCGGGATCGGAGACAGTGTACACTGGCGTACTGATGGATAATATCCATATGGTGCATAGTCGTCCATGGTTCACGATGGGCAGATCCATGCGGCGCTTGCACCCATTCTCTGCAGCGACGGACAGAAGCACACTGTTGGTACCGCACCTGTTGAGGCAGGGCCCTTGGGGAAGCCTCAGGAAAAGGCTGCCGGGTAAGTGAGCATGCCATCAGGGGAGCCATCTGTGGAGAGTCCCAGATCTCTCCGTCGGAAATTGATCCCAGTATGGCTGCCTCCTGATGTTCTGGGGAGGACAAGAAGGAAGGAGTGATCTGTCGCGGGAACCCTGGTGGGGTCACCTGCATTGCCAGTTGAAGAGCCGGTCCGGTTGGTGTTGGTACCAAAACGACCATCGGGACCGACAGGGCAGACGATCCCAAATCACGATGACGGGGCTGATCGGCCTTCTTGGACTTGTGAGCCGTCTTGTCTGCCTTGTCCTTCTTAGGCTTCTTATGACCAGAGGACTTGTCGGATGTGCTGTGCCTTCTCTTCTCCTTTTGTTTTTGATGAGACTTAGAGGAGTGTTTGCCCTCCAGCAGAGCAGCACCATCAGCCGATGGGCAGGGTGGAGGGGCAGCCGAAGAGGAGGACTGTGCAGCGCATTGGGCCACCAGTTGGTCAGATGTGACCAAGGCCTGGTCCCAGAGAAGCTTGCGCAGGCAGTTCTCCCAGTTTTTTCACACCCGCTTGGTGAAGGCCTGGCAATTGCTGCACTTATCAGTTCTGTGACCTTCTCCAAGGCAAAGAAGGCACAGGTTGTGCGGATCAGTGGGGGACATCTTGGCCCCATGCTGAGAACACCTGTGGAAAGCTGCACATTGAGCCATCAAGATTGAAAAAGAGAAGATAGCGAAGACAAGAAATGTAAGAAGAGAATAAACTTTATTTTTGGGGGGGGAGGGTAAAAAAGGGGAGATGTGAAGAAAACTTCTAATGGGGAGAGATGAATAACTTGGAAATCTTAACAAGAAAGCTAAGAGAACAGAGAGCAACGGTTCAAAGGGGATCAAGATACACAATATAGCTACGAACTGAGAGATGAAAGGCTCGAGGCGCAGCGAATGGCGGGCTGGGAAAACGGCGGGCACTCCGTCTTCTTATTCTATTGGGGGGAGGGGTGCGGAGTTCCCACCAAAACCATTAAGTTTTCAAATCTTCCCGGCTACAAGCACTGCGCAGGCACAGCACCCGTATGTGTGATGCACAGAGGCCACAACGAAGAACTGGACATAACAGAAATCTTTGTACACCCTAAAGTATGCCTGTCTGGCTTAGAATTCTTCTTCACTTATCCCAGATACATGGAAACTAACACTGGATATTCAAGTGATGAGGCGTGAGTAACCTGCACATGCTTGGAGGTTCTCATTCCCAAAAAAGCAAAGCAGAAAAGATACCATTTCAAACTAATACATAATATGAAAAAAGGCCTTGCATCTCCTGAAAGATTCTGGGGACCTACACCAAAAATATCCAGCTGAAAAGAATGCTCATTGTTATTGTTCAAGCTGGTTACAACACACTACTCAATTATGCTGGATAGAAATAGATTCTAGAAATGGTGAGTTACATTTTTATTTCAACAGATTTCTCCATAAAGAGAGGAGGTTGTTGTAGTTTGTTCTTGCACACAAGGCAACCTGGTCATAATATTCTGAACATTCAACTGCACTTGTTCTAAAGATCATGGTACAAGAAGTCAGAGAAGCCTTGATTTAACCTTTTTTTTTCTTTTTTGTGGCAAGCAAATGCTTTGCTACTCAGGTCACCCATATGTTTCAAGTGAACAACTGATTCCATACTTTAAATCACTATATGGGACAGTAACAGTATTATCTATTGCTTTTCATTCTGGATTAGGATGGCAACTATTCTAGTCTATCAAGCATTTTAAGATCATTCAAAGATAAGAAGCACCATTGAAGTGTTACATTTATTTCATTATTACCAACAACCTTGACAATAGAAGAAATGTACTTTCAAGGCAGATCATAAATCTGTTATAGCCACCCCAAGGTCAATAATGAATAACAGCAAAAGCCTTGGGCAAATAAAAAGCCAGACACATGAAACTCTGGGACATGTAAATTAAGCTTATTGCTTAAACACTGACCCCAAACAAGACAAATTACTTGCATAACGTGCTGTTTCTAAGGAGTTGTACATTAGTATCTTGGAGCTATGTTTTGATTCCTAACCATTTTCAGGGCAGGTTATTTATGTGGTTTCATAAATCCCTTTGCTGTTACATATTGAGTTGCTTATTTTGTCAGATGATGGACATTTCATTTATTCTCCACATTCAGAAGAACGACCAAGTGCTGCCATTGACATGTTTCTGTCAAGTTTTCTGTAGAATGGTGTAGTGTCAGGATTTACCAGAGTTAAGTACTGAGTGTGAGGTTAGGAACCCAACTTCTATTTTGGATGAGATCAGGATCTAATGAAGTCAGCAGGAATATGAAATGGATCCAGGCAAAAGTAATAACTACTGAGCAGGTCAAGGTTGGAAAATGGGGATTCAAACCTTTGTTGCTGCCTCCTCACTTCAGATGACTAAGCAGCAGTGGTATGGATTCCTAGTGTTCAGGGGTGCTGCTGGGAAACATAGTCTCCAGGTACAAATAGGAGACACCCTACCTCCAAGCCTTGTAGTAGGGATGCCTGTAGGCACATGGGAACTATATTTTCCAAAATGTCAAGCAACACTAACTAATTTTTTATGAAGTGAAAACAGAATGTTTTACCTTCCCCTAATTATCAGAAACTCATACTTTCATTTAGGGACGGATTCTGCAGCACACTGTACTTCAGGATAAATCAATTAACATAAAAGAGCCACAGTATAACACAGCATTAACTAGAAACTGGATTCACACAACATGATAAGCTTAAAAACTAGTGGCTTGTTAACCACTCTGGCTGGGTTCAGACAACATAGCATTCCACCCTTAATTATAAGCCACCATGGCTTATCATAGTGCGTGAACCCAGTCACTTTCTTCATCCAATCCAAAGTTAATCAGCTCTGTAACTGATAGATGCCTTGGACCATTTTGTCCATTTACAAAGCTGTCTGTTTTCAAAACAGATATTACTATCATAGCTCAAGAACTAACTCATTTGATTCCCTTCTAATTTAACAAAACATCTAATATTCTAACCATCCTTTAATTTATTTTATGCTATACCAAAAGGAAATAATTGCCTGAGCCATATTAATTGTATAAATAATCTTTTCAGGAAACTATGCCAACTGACTAGAAGGATTGTATGGATCAGTCTCAATTTTAAATCCCATACTTTAAAAGTGTTACCAATTCAAAGTCATTTAAAACATTGGAAATGATGCCCCTAAATTTTATTATTACAAAGAAGTTATTAGGTATATACAAATGTGTTATAACTTGAGATACATGGAAAAATGAAGGTCTGGACAAAATAGCAAGTAGAAGGAAGAAGCAACTGTTCAACTAGTCTATATATACTGAAACGTCATACTGTGTGCAACTATGTCAGCTTAATTATTTACTGAAGGAAAATAACAATCTAAATTTACCTTTCAGTGTATCACTTTCAGCTCTCATTATGTCAATTAGCGAGTTCTCCAGTGAATGCATGTCAAAGGTTCTCGTGCGTTCCTGTAAATAAACACATATATTAGTTTAGAAAGAGAATGCTACCAACAGATAAAACAAATAGCTTTTTGAATTAGATTTCAAAAAGAACCAATAATTATACTTTTTTAAAGGCTGTGAAGCAGTAATTAATTAAAGCAAACTATTAGGGACTCAGAGAATGAGATAAAGCACCAGGGGCTGCAGCATTTTCTGAAGCATTACTGGGTATAAGGGAGACAACTGGTGACCCCAAATCAAAGTGAAATTATAAATATAAGATATGTTTTATCAAAACCACATTTGGATAATTATTCATATGCAGTATGAGGCTCACTGCTGTGAAATTTATTTTGCCCATAAATAGGACAAAGCAAGGGCAAACAAAACAAGACAAAGGATTTTAATATATACTATCAAAAAAATCTTGCATTTTAAGAAAACCTGTTCTCCTAAATGAGTGTCACATCTCTGTGCAATCAAGTCAAGAGGTTTCTTTTCCATGGAGAATTAGATCTGAATATACAATATCCTAGTTTTCATTGAATGACAGCCCAGATTTTACTTAAACACTGGGCTGTTAAGAACAGCAGTGTGCACTGGTATGTGCTACTGAATCGCTCCTGCTACAAGTAGGATTGCTCAACAACCCAGAGAACAGCTTGTCTCTCTCTAACTATCTTCTCAGGGGAGAGGCAAGCCAGTGTCCTTGATTCACACATCACAATAAACATCACAGAGCATTCCTGGGTTATTTAGTAATCAAAAAGCAAACAGAAGGAAACTCATTTGTTCTCAGTAACACAGAATTAAAGAAAAAAAACTCAAGTGGTTGTGATGTACAAACTAAGCCTCCATAGTTTTTTGCAAGGAATACTGGATTGCATCTTACTGCTTTAGATTCCAAGTAAAAACATTCATTCTAGAAGAAATTTTAATTCTCCTGTTTAATGGGATAATTTCATTGTCATTGTACATAGCATGGATCTCCTCTTAAGTTTCATGGCAACTTGTGCAAATTACCTTAAACATACTCTGCTTGGAAATACAGTAGTACCTCAGGTCACAAACCCCTCAGTTCACAACCAAATCGGTTCACGAACAAAAATTTCAGAAAAAAATTGCCTCCGTTCGCAAACTCCACATCGGGTAATGACCACAATCGCGGCCATGTTCCTGCACGAACACAATCGCAATCGTGTCCATCTTCCCTGCATTAGCATGATCGCAATCGCAGCCATCTTCCCCACTCACAGTCGCAGACAGACCTGTGGTCACTTGCTGGTAATGGCTCCAAAGAAAGTGCAGAGCAAGCATGGTGATAAAAAGAACATGCAGAGCGGTAATGAAGGTGACCAGAACGTGCAGAACAAAAATGGTAAGAAGGTTTTGAAGAAAATAAGGAATTGAAGGAGGATATTGTAGAAAAGCATGAGCATGGTATTTGTGTGACTGATCTGGCCTTTGAGTACAAGATGGCAAAGTTGTTACTTTATGGTTGTTACTTTGTTTCAAATTTTTGTGATAAAAAATATTTACAGAATGGATTAACCTTATTTACATTGAACCTTATGGGCAAATTTGACTTGGTTCATGACCAATTCGGGTTGTGACCAGAGTTCCTGAATCAAGGTACCACTGTACAATTTTGAAATTTTAGTAAATGCATGACATTTAGGAATCACAGAACAATGTTAGCATATCTGCTTCAAGGTTTCTTTTGCCAACTAAAACCAGTTTGACTCTTCAAATCCTAATTAAAAAACAGATTTCAGTGGCTTCATACAGAATTCTACTTAAGCACAGGCATTCCTACAGGATTGCATAATTAGTGAAGAATATCCAGGCTGCCATATATTTATATAAATTAAGTGGTGATATGTTTCCGGCTAAGAGGGCCAAGTCCTCTCCAAACAAAGCTCTTAATGCATTCCTTATTTTATTGATTGATTGATTTATATCCTCCTTTTTTCCTACACAGGGCTCAAGGCAGCTTACATCATTCTCCTCCTCCATCTTATCCGCACAACAACAACCCTGTGAGGTAGGTTGGGCTGCGAGTCTGTGACTGGCCCAAAGTCACCCAGTTGGCTCCATGGCTGAGAGGGGACTAGAATCCAGATCATCTGAGTCCCAGTCCCATGCTCTTAGCCACTACACCAATACACCACACTGGCTTATCTTGTTGATGTCTCTTTTATTCCAGGTAGATTGCCATTTTATCTTTTCTCCCCACAGTATACATCTATCAAAATAATCCTTAAAAAATTTGAAGCATTTGTAAATCATACACAAAACAACTGTTTCTGACAGTAAGCACAAAGCTACCCCTAACAAAAAGCTCATCCATTTACTTTGCTTGAAACAGTGACTAAACCTTTAAAAAGAATCTCAGTACAGAACGTCATTTGTTTTGTGCTATAGTTATCAGTAATTTCAAATACTACACAATAAAAACAGCAGGTCTTGGAATTCTATTTCCTGCAAATATTGGTATTCCAAATTGCTTAGTGTTCCAGATAACAGGATTACAGGGCACCCTTTGAAATTTCATTCAGGGTAGCCAGACCAACATTGCAATTTACATAAATATTTAACTGAGACCGGATCACTTTCATTGTAGATATTACTATTTTGTTGTCTAAGTCCATCTGTAACACATTTACCAAGAATTCTCACATACAGTAGTTAAAGCCACCTTTTGGAAATACTTTCATGGTTCAATCTTTCTTGAGCAAAACAGCAAACGCTCAACAAAAAACAAAAAGATCACTGTGGACATATAATTTCCAAATTTAGCCTTCCTGCCTATCCATATTTAAATATTTATATAGTAATACAGTTTGGATTGATAATATTAAATATTTACCAAATAATTTTTAAATTATACAATTATTTCAATGCAACAATGTATACATGCATATATGTATAAATGCATTTGTTCAGAATAATTTTAGTCGAAGCATCAAACTTAACTATCCCATTTACCAACACTTAAAATCAACTCCTACATATGAACAGCAGTCCTTTTAGCTGCATTTCTATTTGATTGCTTTTATGCATTTTTCAATGAGAGTAATATTTGTCCAAATATGCTACTTAGCTTACCTATCTAAAGTGTAAAATCTTGTCTTTTCCCTCCAGATAAGCATTATAAACTTGCTCAGGATACGACTAGGTTAACAATGAGGTTTTGTTTAACTACATGCAAAGGTTTTGCCTGCAATTCTTGACTCTGCTCTTGAGGTCAACTTGTAATTTTCCAAGAAATGTTTGTTTATTAATTGAATAAGAAAAAACATTTAAAAGACCATCCTGTAGGGAATACTGTTGGCAGCTTTATACAAAATTATCTGTCATAGTCAGGGGTGGGAGGAATATTACTAAAGACGCAGTCCTTATTAGCCACCAAGTATGTTTACAATAGAAGTCTTTAGAAAATTTTAAAATATATGTAGAGAATTACTTCAAATTTAAAAATTAACTATTTTTATACCTATATTAGGTATTTCATGTACTGTTAATGTAAGTTGCCATGAGGAAAATTGTAGAACTACATGCAAGGAAATTACTGATTACTTGCTATTACTTCCCTACTAGTACTGGCTTTTACTATTGCCAGTAAATGGAATTTGATTTATTCATTTTGGAGCTGAAGACATTGATGAAACAACTGCAAATTCAGGTAGACACAAACAGTCCTTGAAACTAGCATACTAAGCTTGAAAGCAAGTACAAAATGTATTTTATATTCATTATATTTATATCCCACCTCTATCCTGAAAAAAGGTCAAGGTGGCTTACGAAGTCTCATCCTGCTCTTAATTTTATCTTCACAATAACACAATTGTGTTATTTTATCCTCACAATTTTATGTATTCTATTGATTTGATAAATTTTTTGCATTTTATACAGGATTTTAATGATTGTAAGCCACCCCGAGGCTCATGCAATGAGGCAGCATATAAGTTGTCTAAATAAATAAATAAATAAATAAATAAATAAATAAATAAATAACAACCCTGTGAGGTAGGCTGGGCTGAGAGACACTGACTGGCTAGAAGTCACCCAGTGAGCTTCATGGCTGAATGGAGACTAGAATCCAGAATTCCTGCATCAGTAATTCAGCAGATTGCTACAGTCAGAATAAATCCACTGTAAAACATCCAAAACAACAGCACAGTAATATATCCTACTTCCCAGTTTCAGTATGAATGCTCTTTCTGCTTGTTAACTAGAGGACGTCATGTGCAACATGATCCTAACCACATTTACTAAGAAAAAAACTACTATGAAACGTGCTCCGTAGGAACTGTGCTTTGGACTGCAGCCTCGCAGGTTTAGCAGAACCAGGGGAATGGGTCTAGAATTTTGCTCAGTGAAGTACCACCTATAACGAGGTGGCTGGGTCAGTGTGTTCAGACCACTTCTGCTTTGTATTAGATTCTGTGCCTCCAGAAAAGCTGCCGCAGAGAACTGGAGGAACAGAACAATGGTGTTCAACTTGAGATACCCAAGGAACCCTTCTCAATGTGAAAAATCAATGCAGAACATTTCATGTAATGCATTTTATTTGAACAAAATTAATGTTGCAATAATACGTTTCATATAATGCAAACAGAAACCATTTATAAATGCATAAAACCCATTTATTACTTAGAAACTAAACAATACTCAATTTACTGAATATATTACTAAATGTTAGTATAGCATCACTAATGAAAAATATGAAAAATATACTTCATCTTAATGACTTGGATATGCTTGTTTTTTGCCACAAAGAAAATCAAACTGAGGTGATATTGATGATAGTTTTAAGTGTATTTCTGATTCTGCATCCGTTTTAGCCTTTTTGCACAAATAAGTTGTAACAAAAGGAACAAGAATCTTTATTGCA